CTTAATTATGTCTTTGGACCGATAAATACCCGCATGAGATACACAGACATGAACTTCAAAACATTCCATATAAAACAATCTAGACAAGAGAGATCACTTTTGTGACATCTTGTTTGAATTGACTTATATTTAGAACATTAGAAAATTAAATTTCCGTAGACGTTGTATGAAATTACATTAAATTTAAAGATTTCTAAATTTGTGACCCCGTATATGTTATTAGGGATCATAACCTTTTAAAGGTTGTAATTGGTTTTCATAACTGAAAGGTAATGAAAACCAACTTTAACCAATATGTTTTAATTTCTATTTCTGCCTCTCATAGAAATAGAAATTATACAACTAGTATCTACACATTAGGTCCATAACACATATACCCTTAAGCCTATTAACTAAATTGAATCACTTAAATTGTAGGCTTCTTATAAATGATAACACCACATTTAATTATATGGTCCCATTGAGACATTATCTAACAGTGCACTCGCCCATAATGAGCAGTGGAAGCAGAGTATATATAGGTAGCATCTTGAAGTTGAGGAACACGCACAATTACTTTCACCTGAACTTGTACTCACATTTTGTGCTCCCTTATCTATTGTTTTACTAACTTTAGGCATGGGAGTGTCCCCAGGCTGCTCTCCAACCAGACGCTTCACCTTTTGTGAGTGTTTTCAAGTTCATAATGGTACAACACCGCCATAGTGCCACTGCAGCTAGGTGGTATAATTTTTACGCACCATAATAAGTACATGTACACCGAATTTCCTATGAGAAGGACATGTGTGCATCACATATTATACTATTACCAAAATACCTATAGTAGTTAATTTTAATTTTTGAATTTTAAAATATCATAACTTTTTATATAGGCACCCATTTTAAATAAAATTAGCATTTTTTCAATTTTCTTATTGAGATCTACCAAACAAGATATATACATGTTGGTCATGAAATTCTAGAGAAAAAAAAAATACAATAAAATTTTTCTACCCACAATATATTAACATAGTAAACAGCTTGCTCTAAAAAATATTAAATTAATTCTTGACATTCCTAAATACACGTCTAACATAGATATAAGATAGTTTTTAAAAATTCAGTTTCATTGATTACATAAAAATAAAAGTAGCTTTCATCACCAATATTAATATTGTAAATAACTTGCTCCAAAAATTATTAAATTCATTGTGAATATTCCTAAATATATGTTTAACATGGATATAAAATAGTTTACCAAAATTCAATTTCATTGATTACATAAAAATAAAAATTTCTACAGTAAAATTTGAATGTTCAAATAGAAAAAGAATTTTACTAACTTTTAATATAATGCCGCTACAACCATCACCATTAGTAACTACCACAATAATGACACCACTTTCGATTGTGCATATCAAATTTCTCATGATTATAAACATTAAAATCAAATAAAAACACTCAAAACTAAGAAGAAGAAAAATCAACTTGCTAAAAAATCATGAAATTAATTTTGGACATCCCATTTGTCTATCAAGCATATAAAATAGTTTCTAAAACTTTAATTCTATTGATTACACTGTTGGAAAGCAGACTTTTAGTGGTGTTTAAAAACGCCGCTCTAAGTGCCAAAAATGCTGCCAATTCCTTTTGCGACACTTAGCACCAAACGCCGAGGACGCGGCCGTCGCTATAGCTTTATGGTGTTTTAAAAACGTCGTGATATTAGTATAGGCGCCGCTGCCAAATGTCCTACCAAACGCACGCTGACGTCACTGACGATATTTAGTGACGTTTTGAAAAAACGCCATCATATCTTTTTTTTAAAAAACAACCGTTAGTAAGTAGGGTTTAAGAGGCGTTTGTAGAAACGCCATCATATCCCTTTTTTTTTTTTAAATTGTGCTTATTTTATTTGATTAAACTAAAAAAATACCTATAATAGTACTAATATAAAATAATAGCTCCCATTCAAATAATTGTAATAAAACATTAATTCACTTTCTCATTCAATTAATATCCAATCACCATTACCCACAAAATTAACATATCCAAAATCCAGAAATCATGTTTTAACATCATTAACCACAAAGTAACATATATCCAAAAATCATGTCTTAATATTAACCACAAACTAACATATATCCAAAAATCATGTCTTAACATTAACCACAAACTAACATATATCCAAAAATCATGTCTTAGCATTAAAGTTATAATCTTCACTGGTCTACATGCCTACATCAGAATATAAACTGCAATCAGATTAACCAAAATGAACACAAATTGAAGAATTTGTACCCAATACTTATAAACAGTGCATAAAACTTGAAGAAGCACTAACAAGAAGATTTTATCACATACCAAGAAGTACTAAATAAATACATATAAAGAAAATGGCATACCCAAAGACAATGCAGATACATATGAGGATCATGTAAAATTAAATAAATAATGCTCTCATAGCATAAACAAATTTAGAGGCAATTTGATCTAACTCCCACTCATCAAATTATGCAAGACTTTTGATCTAACTCACACTCATCAAATTTGGCAAACATCATTCTTTCTAAAAAAATTGCAAAAATTGCCAACAATTTCTTCAACGTATGATCAATTTCACACAAGAGAGAGTATTCATGGACTCGAATCCAGGCCAGAGGCTACAAAACCCATAAAAAAAAGGAAAGAGAATACAAGATCATTGAAGCTTGAAATACCCATTTAAACAAGTGTACAAGCCCAATTCAATAAAAGATGCAAATCCAACTAAATTCCTATACTTTGATTAAAAAGAAATAAATCAAAGTTGCCAGCCCGGATGAGAAATAAAAACCTTTTTTTTTTTTTTGGTTTTTAGGGTGCATTTTTAGTTCAAGATACGTCCTACTACTTGGAACCAAAGAATTAGTATATCTATTCCGGTCAAATTAGGACTGAACAAGGGTTTTGAACTTAAAATCTATGATCTGATCATTGAGTCAATTCCCAGATTATAATTTCATTGCAGCAAGTGATTGAGTTCAGTAGTTCCCCATATATATTTTATCGACTCTAGAACATAGTAATATATAGAAAAGAAATTGTTTCAAGAGCCAGCAGATATACCGAGAAGAAGGGAGAGAAAAACCTACCATAAAGCCACCTGTCTCTGTTTGCCACCAAGTGTCAGATATGGGGCATCTTGAATCTCCAACTATATTGAAAAACCACCTGTTAAGATGAAAAAGAAAACGTGTCATACTTCTTGTGTTCAAAAAATGTAATCCAGCAACAAAAGTAGAGCTCCTAACCTCCATGCACTAGGATTTATAGGCTCGCCTACACTACTGAGGACTCGTAAGGATTTTCGTGAATAGCGAGTGACATACTGTATGGTAAACAACATATGGAATACAATGACAGAATGCATTAATAGAGCTCTTCTCCTCTCTTTTTTGCATGTTTAATCTTTGTTAACAATTACAAATTTATGCAAGAACATCTTCACACTTGGCCAAGACACAGAAAACTAGTGAAATAAATCAAATGAGTAGTCAACTCCAAATAGTACTATTGCAAAATATAATCTTAACTAGCTTGTCATTTGAATGTATTTAAATTACACATGCATGTAAGGTTAGAGATTTTTATTTGCATGTAAGTAGGCATCATTTTCCCATTTGCATCACCAATACAATACAAGTGAGGAACCTAATGGTAGAAGTATTATTTCAAGAACCAGTTGCAAAACCATACAAAAAATTGTGTTCATGACGGAATGTAAAGATAACAAACTAGATTGCCATTTGCATCAATAACTTGTATACGCTCATCTACTGGAACAAGTCTATTGGTCCTCAATTTTTATTCTTCCTATCATGAGGAATTTCTTATGGACTGGTTCGGAGCTAAAAGGCCATGCTAAGATTAGTTCGCAGCATATATTTGCTCCTAAAAGGGGAGGTGGTTTGGGGTTTAAATGTCTTATTAATTGGAACACAGCAGCTATCCTAAAAAATATTTGGGCTTTAAGTATGAAAGCTGATATCCTTTGCGTTAAATGGATTCATACATATGTGATTAAAAGTCATTGTTTTTGGTAGATGAGTTGTCCAAGTGATATGTCTTGGACTATGAGGAAAATTTTCAAGCTCAAGACTATTGCTGTTTCTCTCATTAAAAAGAAGATTGGGAATGGTGATGAACATGTCTTTTGCCTAATCTCATTTTTTTATTTGTCATTTATGTTCATGAAATCAATTTTAAATTTAAAAATATCCTAGTTATGATATAATGGCATTTTTTTTTATTCCATTGAAGTAGTCAAAAACTAACTAACAGTGTAAAAGATATATATATATATATATACTTCTCACACTAAGTCCTCTATGCTATTTGATTTTATCAAAAAAAAATCAAATAATATACAAGTAAATACATAAAACAAAACAAAACAAAATGTTTAAATATTCACTTAACATTGGCTTCCACTTAAACCAGTGAGGAATAGGAATATCTGATTAGATTATAATCCTCCTAGGACCTTTCCTACTTTTGTCATGTTAAAGAATCAAAGTAATACACTGATGAAGTAGAAGATTAAAGAGGCAAAGATCTTTCTTCAAGTGCATTCAAAAAGTAAAGAACTCAATGACCAGAAAATCAAACTATGAATAGGTCAATGGAATTGGAATATTGAGCACTAGTTGTTTCCAAAGTAACAGCATTTAACCCACCTGATTTAACGTTAAGGTCCCAGTTTTGTCACTGCAAATGATAGTAGCAGAGCCCATGGTTTCACAGGTAGAAAGCCTCCTGACCTGAAGTTCAATATTTGTGAAACATTTAAACATGTACTTTTATGTGTGTATGTATGAATATCAATATCATATGAAGCAACTCAAAGAAAAGATAAATCGCACATACCAAGGCCTTGTCTGACATCATTTTCCTCATTGAGTAGGCAAGGCTGTAATACAGGTAGGGGAATGCACTTTAAGAAATTAAAGAAGCATAATCTTTGAACTAGATAGTAAAAAAGAGACTGGAATGAGCAGGAAATATGCAGCAAAACTAATGATGGCCCCAGTAAGCAATGACACTGTCAAACTTGATGATACTACAAGGACTAAAGTAACTTAGAAGAAAACACGGAAAAACTAGGAATCAACGACATGTCCTCCAATAAACTTCAAAAAGAGAGTGGCAAGAAAAGATAAGCTCTACCTAACACCAATTTTGCTCAACCAACTCCAGATACTTGACAATATTTTTGATCAATTGAAATGAGTTAATAAAATTAGAATGATAACAAAATGACTGAAAGAAGGTCAAACTTACGTTAAGGTAGCGGCTAAGGGAAGCCCTTCAGGCACTGCAACAACCACAATAGTGACCTAAAATTCCTTCAGGTATTAGTAAAATACTCAAAATAACTATATATGAATATATACTAATCACAAATTATGTCTGTAAAACGGCACATACTGCAACAGTGAAAATCTTAATAACTCCATCTATGGCAATACCAAACTTAGTATGACTAGCCTTGAATTGAGGAGTTCCATCTGTGTTTTTGGTATATCCAGTAAAGTATCTGCAGATACTCTAATTTATATGTTTTACCAGTCCAAACTTTGTTTTTTAGAGAGAAATAGAGAATTGAGGAGAGAACTCAACAACTAAGATTGCAATTACCTTATCAAAAGGACAAACAGAACAACTATAGCTACTGCAAGTCCAACGAAGCTAATAAATGTTGCAACCCCATTTAATCGTACCATCACATAAAATAATATACAAAACACAATTCCCAATTCCCAATTTGGTAACAATTCATTATGTATAGAGGGTTTAATTTTTAAAGTTTGCCTACTGCATAGAACTGGCCTGAATGTGGTAATGACATAGGAGTGATGGTTCCTTAATAATGGCCAAGAACTGAAAAAGACACACATAACCCCGACTGCATAAAACAAAATTTTCCCAAAATATATTAACCAATAGAAAGTAAAATTAGCAAACTCTATGACTCATCTAGCGCCAGCATTGCAACACGTTAAGTGGGCCACTATATCAGCTACCAACGTAACGAATGATGAATGTCAGCGACCAACCGATAACAAGGCCAGATCCCATGTTCCCATTTCCTGTGGCCGTTATCACTTATGTACCACACGTTATCACTTATGTATCACACGATTAGATCTAGAGACAATTGAAACAATCAGAAGGTTAATGAAGCAACAATCCACATAGAGTTAACAGTAAACGATCCCCGCAAAACATTCTTACAAGAATCTCCCACAGCTCAACAAACAAAAATTCAGATGCCAGATTAAAAAACATGAGGGTAGCGCGGTTCCAATGCAATGATCCATTCAGGATCGCAACAAAATATGAATTATCTAGTTCCAAGTGAATGAAGAATTCAAACCTATACGTAGCTGAAGGTTAAGAACTTTATGAAACCCGATATAGAAACAATGATACCTGCATAATCTCAGGTGCATCTGGCCCACACATGGATGCTCCAATAACTTTATTTGTCTCAGAATCAACAACAAGCTTCATAATCGTTTTCTCTTGCCATCTGTATACATAATTGCGTCAAATGGAATTCCACAGATAATCATGTTTTCTAGAAAAAAAATCCAATGACTTCAAAGTACTGAACCATTAGGAATCATCAAAAGAAGAAATTCTAAATCCCTTGCCTTGCAAGCCATGACATTACAACAAATTTCTACACCAAGAAGGTAAGTTGTTTCCCTCTAAGCTTATAAAGTTATCTACTAAATTAGATGTCCAATCACATGCCCTGAGACAGTGTTTTTCATAGGATTGAACGTTGACGTAAAATCGAAATATCACCCTTTGCTTGCTCAATAGCCTCTTCTTCACTTAATCCAACAACACAAAGAGGTGGTATGCTGTAAAACAACAAAAAAAACACAAGCTAATCATATATCACAAACAAATTTCAATAAAACAGAATTGGTTCATTAGAAAAATGAAACTAATGGAACAACTTATTTCTATCAAGCTCTGAATACGAATAAAAACTTTAAAACTGCACCAAGAACAATTTTAGCACTTCCATTATACTGATGGATACTCTCAAGTGAATTATATGAGGGAAGAAAAATGAAGCATTTGCTAGAACAGAAGAAACTTTACCAGAATACAGCACAAGGTACATTGCTGTAGTCAGGTTTGGTAGGCTGCCCACTAAAAACAGTTTTCTGCAGGCAAAGCAAAGAATTGAATGATGAATTAATAACGAAAAAAAAGAAGAAGAAGAGAATTCAATGATGATAACTAATCAGGGTACAGATTGAGCACACACTGAAAAGCAGGTGCCTTCCATTAAGGCCACGGGGGTAAGATTCAATCTATTTGTGACATCACCAACAGCCCATATGCTAGGAACGTTTGTGCGAGAGAACTCATCCACCTGAAATACAAGATGAAAGGGGTAGGGAACCTCAAAGAAGTTAACTTCTCATGGTACAAACATTTTTTTCACAAGCAAAATAATTTTGAATCACCAACATCAAATAGACCACGAAATAATAGATTGAGGTGAAAACATTGTTAACCAAACAAGGGAGAAGTAGTAGTGAGCAAATGCTGTGAAAAACCCCCAAAATAAACTCAACCATCTCTGATACACGTAGCACTGAAAGACTAACCCAAAAAAAAAACCCTCATAAATACAATCTCACTCTTGTTCATAATTTTTTAAACACTGCCAATGCCATACACATATCATCACATCAAAGAACAACAAATGCAATAAAAGACGAAGAAAATGTTATTAACCTTTACGGCTCCCATCTCGTCAAGCTCAACACCTACAGCTTCCAAATTCAACCTCTTTGTGTTAGGAAGCCGACCTATAATCAATGAAAAATACTTTATTATCCCAAAGATTACATTAAAAACCTCAACAACTAAAATGATTGCTCACTAAATTTATAGAATGTTAGTACTAATGTACACACACACCTATATAGAAGAAACCGAACATGATGTGCGGCTAAAAACCGATCCACCTAGGGCTCCAGGACCAACCGATAACAAGGCCGACCATGACAGCGAGCCAAATCGGGACTGAGGAGAGTAAAACGTCAAGGAATGTCTCGGTGAGGCTTGGTGTAGCACGCCTGCGAGGGACCCCGCACTACACGCTACAGTTTGGACTCGATTTTGTTTGCGGTTCTAAATCTGAACCAAAGAGTCCAAATCCGGCAAATCATTTTGAGAAACAGATTTTTTTGAAAGAAGTGCCAAACATGGACTACTTTGCCAGATACAGAGTCGCCACCTAAATGTTTTAATGGGAGAATTTAGGAAACCCTGACTCGGTGCCAAAGGCCACGTGTCCGTCATCACCAAAGTTGCCTCGGCTCGGGAACTTGGGTACGATTGAATCGAAATCGCGGTGGCGGTGCAGATTGATCTGAAATCGGTGAATCGTTGAGATTTGAATCGGTGAATTTATGAAATCGGTGAATCGATGAATCTCGCTACCTTGCCAGTGCAGATGGTGGTGGAGGTAGAGCTTCGAAATTGGTGAATCTGTGAGATTTGAATATGAGATTCAATGTTTAGAGATGATTAAGAGAGAGGCGCGACGCGAGGATAAGGGGTTCAGAGGATTCAATGTTTATGTCTAAAGACCTGAGGGTTTACAAAGCTTTATTCTCAGATTCAAAATAGGTGTGTGTGATGTACAGCATTTGGAGGCGCTTTTAAACGCCTTTGATCATAAAACGGTGTCGTTTTAATTAAATAAATATGCGACGTTTTTAAAACCTTGTTAAATATTAATAAAGATGATGTTTGCGAAAACGCAGTTAAAAAAACGTTACAAAAACCCTTATTCCTTGTAGTGTTAGATAATAAATAATATAAAAAAAATGTCTATATACTATGAAATTTTATTCTGTTGAGAGTAAAATTTATTCGATTCACATAACATGTAACCTAAACATTCATGTAAGCAAATAATTTCTATGAAAATATGGAATTAGCTGACCAAAGTAATACCAATGGATTAATGTTGAAATGATTTCACTGTTATAAACAATATATATACAAAAACTATATATATACACTTTCAAGTTTTTGGATGAACTTGAGTAACTAGTTAGCTAACATTATGAAAATCCAAAGAAATACAAAAAGAGAATCTCAACATTAAAGTAATAGTTGAACTACTTAGAAGCACTTCCTGTAGACTACTTAGAACTACTTTCAAGTTTTTTTCTTTTTTTTTTTCTTTTTTTTTTTAACTTTGAAATGCAAAAAGGCTTAAAAAACATCAGACAATAAAATAGATAAGAGCACAGGGGAGGATTTGCCACCCAATCCAGCGGAGCAAGCCCTTGAGGTTCCGAGGATTTGCCACCCAATTTGCTCCTCTGGGAACCTAAAGGAATGATATGTGGCATCTAGAGCGAGCGGTATGAATATCATGAATGATGGCTTGGTAGTCCCACTGAGGCACCAACTCGGAAACACTGGTTGAGCATGGGAAATTCAGAGGTTGTCCTTGATTTACATGGGACGTGGCTCCGTCAATCTAGCCACATATGTTCCTGAAGGTTAGTTTCTTTGGAAGGACAAAATTGTCCAAAAAATCGAATCTCATATCTTGTGTGTCCTCCACGTCATATACAAATCAAAATGAATGACTTGATTCATTAACCATAATTTTGGTGGACTTGATGAATGATGCTTCTTATGTTAAGGACTTTCACCAAATTTCCCCATTTTCAGTGATTTTTTTACTAAAAATAAACATCTTCCCAAACAAGCCTTAAATAAGGGTTGATTATCTAGTTGATAGTAGGGAGGCCAGAATTGGTGGCTGGAGGATGAGAGAGAGGGAGTTGAAAATATTGCGCACATAATGCATATCCAGTTTACCAAAACATCCTTTATTTGGTTTCAAGTTTTAAATAGGGATGCATTTTTACTCTTCTTCTCTCCCTCTTCACCAAACTCTCCATGGCAATCGACACCCTATTTCCAAACGAAACACTCACCGACAACGGTAAACCGCTTGTCTCCTCTGGCAAAGCGTTCAACTTAGGCTTCTTCGTGTGACTGACAAATGTGGAGAATGAGTGAAATGGAGCATGGAGGATGGAACCTGGTGATCAGAAGGAGGAAAGTAGGACATCAGCATGGATATCGTGCGATGGTAGTGGTAGTAATTATATTTGTGGACAACATTCCAGAATCAATGGATTCCAAGGGATTATTCAATCTTTTTAGAAAGTTTGGCATTGTTAAGGATGCATTCATTCCATGGAGGAGCAAGAGGGTAACAGGATCCAGATTTGGTTTTGTTAGATATGATTCTAAGGTGGCTGCAGCGATGGCGATTCAGAAGGCTGATGGGTTGAGGTGCGATAACAAGGCACTGAAGGTTAAAAAAGCAAAGTTTCAAAAACCTCAGGCATTGGGTCAACAACAGCATAGAGTCCCGACTAGAGAGGACGATGGCAGGTTGTTACACCAGTGGCCCC